GCGCTGCGCCGAGATGCCAGGAAGAAGGAGAAAGTTTGTGTGTCTGCATCCGCAGCAGGCGTCCTCTTTCTGCTCGGCGCTGGCGGTTCTGGCTTCTGCCTTGGCAGCCCCAGCAAACCTCCTCCAGAAAGTGTCGGTGGCAGGCTCAGGTGGGAGGTGTCTGAGAGCGGGGACTGTGCGGACTCCGGCCCTGCACGCTGCCGGCCTGCGGTGTGTGGGGGGAAGGTGTGGGGTCGTCTCGGGGTTTCCCGCAGGAGCGCCATCCTCCCAGGAGGGTTGGGGTGCAGCCAGGCCCCCGGCAGCAGCTCTGGAGGGGAGGCAGGGTGCCAGCCCCGGGGGAGGGGCTGCCCGAGCCACGCAGAGCATCCTCGACCTTCCCGGCGCCTTCTGCTCACCGCGGGACTCCTGGCACTGCTCCGGAGCGGCTCTCACGAGCCCCGGCTTCTCCGGTCTTTGCAACTCAGCTGGAGCCACGAGGGGAGGCAAGTTTAGTTCAGGCAGCCGCTTGGCCATTCCGGCAGTGTGATTCATCTCCTGGAAGGCGGCGTGCCCTGATAATAGCACAGAGCTTCACTGAAGTGCAGTTGCCAGGGTGTTATGGTCTGTTTTATGGCGAGAGCTGGAGGGTTATGTAAAAACATTGGCAACACGCTGAGGCTGTGTGACATCAGGAGGGCAGCTCAGCCGGGGACACTTTTCCTGCCTCACCCTTCAAGGTGAGAGGAAGCAGGGAGTTCCCAGGGGCAGAAAAGCCGGACCTTTGACCAGCGCTCCTGACACTGACGGGGAGATAATGAGGGGTTTGGAGAAGGTGGCCTGTGTCCCCCACCCCAGCCCAGCCTCTCCCTGGCACTCTCTTCTTTCCTCTCTTTCTCTCCCCCAGCCCCTCTGTCTCTCTCTCTCTCACTGTCTCTCTCCCTCTCTGTCTCTCTCCTACTGTCTCTGTCTCTCTGTCTCCCCCATCCCCCGTGACGAGGCCGTGTCTCATCTCTCTCTGTGGCCCATGTGCCTTGCACGGCATCTAAACCTGATCGTCAGTCAGTATCTGTTCCAGGAAATGACAAGAGACACTGAAGTCTAACACTCATCCCAGGTGGGTCCTGGGGAGAGGTTAGTGCAGTTGGGGTTGACGTTTGCTCCCGAGGAACCATCTGAAAGGCGCTCGGTCTCCTCTGACTCTAGGGAAGCTTCTCTGGCTGAAGGTGGACAGAGGCTTCTTGGAGAGGCAGCCGGCTCTTTCCACCAGGTGCCGGAAATGCAACGTCGATTCCTGGGTGTTCCCACCGGATTAGACTACTTCAGCCAAGTTTAGCGAGGAGGGGAGAAATCCCAAACAAAATTGATTTATCGCTTATATTTCCTCTGCCTTGGCTGCTTCCTGAAAACCCCTCTCTGGCTTGACGGAGCTGGTGGGGGCACGGATGTCCCGGGAGGGAGGGGGCTGCATCTGCACCGAGCTGGGAGGGCAGGACATGCCCCCACACCCTTCCCCGGGGGGCAGCGACCTTCGCTGGGGATGTCTTATGGGCCTTGGCGAAGAACTGCTAAGTGGTGTGTGCAGATTCAGATTCATAGCATCCAGGAGAAAATATTCATTAAAGAAACACAGTGTAGTCACCTCCTCTATGTGCATGAGAGTTTGCTTCCAAATTCAGTGCTCAAGGCCAGAAAAAAACATTTATAGGCAAAAACATCTTTCTGAATATCTTAAATTGCACATAAAATGCAGCATCTGTGGTTTTGTGCATGCAACCGGCGCAGTGAGTTTTAGGAAAACCCAATTCGAGAGCCTTCAAGCTCAGTGAGAGAAGCGAAGGGAGCATCTCCGTTCAGCCGTCCAGGCGTCCGAACCCTTCCGCCTTTGAGAAAACGTTCAGGTCGCCCGTGAGGGGAAGCGGGGACAAGGGGTCTGAGTGCTCCAGGAGCCTCAGGTCCCCCCGCCCTGGGGCGATGTGAGGCCTCTACCAAGCGGAGCACGTCCATCCGTTCTGTTGTAGGCGCTGGGCAGGGGGCGTCTCACCCGGTCGGCGATGCCAGCAGGGGCTGTGTCTCGCTCTGCATCCGGAGGGGGGACTTGCCCACCTCCGCGGCGTAGCAGGTCACCGTCCTGCGTCACGCACGCCTCCAAGGCCCCGTAGGAGGAAGGACTGGAACCAAGGCGAGAGCGGGGATGGGTGGGGAATTTGCATTTTGGTTGTTTGCTTCGAGGGAGGTCGTTTCTGAAAATCGACACACATGCGTTGATTCCTTCGAACGTGACCTGCCCCAGCCCGGGTCCTACGGCCCTTGTTAGGGTCAGAGAAGGTCAAGGCTATGGGTGTCTCATTGCGTGGCAGGAAGCGGAGCCCAAGAGGCGGGGCGTGGCCCACAGTGCGGGGAAAATTGTCGGTGACGGTCGCCGGGTGGGGTGCTTGCTTCAGAAGCACCTGCATTTCTGCGGTCATTAAAAGCTTAAGTTACAAAAACAGAAGGCCCCATCATGGCTGGCCAGGCACTGGTCGCAGACGGTCCCGGGTGTGGCAGCCTCTGTCAGCTTGGCAATCTCAGCCCAGCCCTTCCCACGGTCCTCGTCTGGGGACATCGTCTCTGCTGTCTCCCAGGCCTCAGGAATTCTCACACGGCGGCACTGTCTTCCCATGTCTGTGTGTGGCACCTGGCCTGGGTTCACTCTGGGGGGGTATTTGTGTCTGTTTAGATCTGGTCTAATGTCCCAGGCCCACAGCGTACCTCAAGCACAGTGCTCCGCGAACATCTGTCGAATGAGCAAGTGAGTAGCGTTTTCTCCAAACAATTCATTGTTTCTGTTTGAATATATTTATCACCGTCACACCGATGCCCAGAAGGTGGCTGTTCAAGTGGACGCAGTGGGAACGAGACCAGGCCGCTAGGTGCCCGCGGGGTCCTCGGCCCCCAGAGTCCTCTCTTTCTTTGTCAGAAAGGAAGATTCCCCAGTGAGAGGGTCGTGCGGCGGGGGTCGTAGCACGAAACTGAGAAGCGATCAGGAGGGTGAGAGAGGCTGGAGAGGGGGGCCGGTCTCGTGGCGTGGGCGTGTTTCGGCGTTGCTGAGCTGGGTGCCAAAACTCACGGCTGGCAGGCGGGACCCACCAGGACCAGCCCTTCCCTGGGGCTCTGGTCCGTGTGCAGAGCCATGTCCAGGGGGAGGCCACTGTGGGTGCAGGGCCTGGGGAGAGGGTGCGTCAACCTTTGGGGCTGCCCCCCCCCGGCAGTGGGTCCCGGATCTCTAATCAGGAGCCTCAAATCCCACTGCAGCCTCAGCACGATGAGTTATCAACAGTAAAGCCCCAGTTGAGCCTGGAACAGAGAGGCCAGAGGGAGGGGAGAAGGGGAAGGAGGAGAGTGAACGACGCCAGCTGCAGGGGGGCAATTTCTAGACATGCAGGCGGCTCCCCACACCAGCCTAGGATGATGGGGTTTGCGACACCACAGCTGAGAGGGTGAACTTGGGGAGCCTGTCCGGAGATTGCCCTCCGGCCACGATGGCAGGCAGTTGGCCCAGGTGCCCTCCGTCCCGCCAACAGCCCTGGCTGGGGTTCCAGACGCCGTAGCAGGACAGCGGCAGGAGGACAGCAAGCCTGTCTCTCCACCCTGCACGGCGGGTGCCCCTCGGTATTGTCTCCAAGAACAAAGGACGGGTAGACGCTTGCAGAACAGCCTGCAGGAGCCGCAGCCCAGGAGGGGCAGGGGAGGGTCCGGGAGGTGCCTGGCTGCTGCCTGCATCGCTGGGAATGCCCGCCCCCCGCGCCCCCACCCCCCGTTCCCACACACACCTCCCTCGAGAGCCTCCCGGGTGTGGATAAGGTGTCGGTTTCTAAAAAGGGGCTCCCGGCTTCTGCTGTGCATAAGCAATTCCATTTTGGAAATGCTCTAAGATGTTCCGCTTGGTAGGAATGTGATTTCCCCCGGAAAGCGCTTCCTACTCGTTTGCGAGTTTTAATTCCAAAGATGGCTTACTGCTGGTTCCAGACGGCCTCTCCAGCTCGAGTTCACCGGTCTCCGGCCGTCCCCGGCTCTGCCGTGCGAGTGACGACGTTCCTGCGTTGCTAATCCCGACCGTCAAAGTCCGTGGCCGGAAAGACAGCGTCATCTGTCCTGGGCGCTGGCTGGTCTTGCCTCCAACGGCAGCGGCACGTCACTGGCCGTGTTCCCCTCCGGCTGACTAACCGCCCCCCCCAGCTCAGTTTCACAGCTCCCCATTGTTGCTGATTTACCACAAACAGTGAAAAAATAGTGAACACCCCCCGTCGGAGCACCACCGCCTCCGCTGGCCACGCCGGTTCACGGCTGTTTGAGTGTCGGTTTTTCTGTTCTCTGACATCCTCCGTGCGCCCGGCTCTCGGAGGAGCATCCGAGGACATGCAGGACATTTCGGTTCTGCGGTTTTTTTCTCTGCTCTGCGTGTGCTGCTCAGCCTGCAGGGCCGCCCCGTCTCTGAGGGAGGACCCCGACCCTGTCCAACCGCAGACGCATGGGAGCAGCAGAGCCCTCGGCGCCGGGGATGAGCTCTGCGCAGACCCGCCCCTCCGGGTCTTGGGGAGACGAGTTCGATAAACACCTCTCAGGTTATTTCCCGCGGGGGCAGCGGCCCTCAGCAGAGCTGGCTGTGTCCGCAGACGTCCATCTGTCCGCAAGCCCGGGGGGGCCCCAAGCTTCCGGGAATAACTCATGCCGGCGGTGCTCCCCGACTTCGAAGTGTGCTGGGGCTGAGTGATTGCATTTGCAATTCAGCTCAGCAATCTGCATGTTTCATAATCTCGGAACTGTTTTCTGAAAGGACAGTTTATCCTTCATTGGCTGGAAACTTGACAAAAATAAGTCCCTATAAATTTCCACATCAGATCGGCCATGGAAGACGTGCAGGAGGGATGGGATCCCGGTCTCAGGACCCGCGTGGTCAGCGTCTTCGTTCCCCGTCCGAGAGCCGGGTGCCTCCGAGGGAAAGTAGGTGGATGAGCCCGGCGCGGGCGGGGCCTCCACTTAGGATGGCGGCCACTGCGTTGGTGTCCCCCCTGCGGAGCCGGGGGCTTGTCTGCTGTCAACGTGAGTCTGGCGGGTCCCCCTCTAACTGCCGTTCACACGGAGGAGAAACTCATTTTCTGGGTTGTTTAAAAGGTACCGAACAGACGCGTTATCTCGCAGCGCGGAGCGAGGCCGTGTGTCTGACGGCGGCTCAGCAGTCGCGGCCGTGTGGGCCTCACCGCCCAGCCTCTGGCCGCCGCCTCCCCAGGAAGCGCCGGGATCCAAGCGGTGGCTCTCACGACCCCGTCCCTGCAGACCACGCAAAGCCCGTGGCCCACTTCCCGCGGATGCGCGTGATCGCTGCCCGCGACGGCTGCCCGCGTGTGGAAATAGGACAGAACACCGTGTGGAGAAGGGATGAGGGACCCGGGAGTGGCGGCCTCTTCATGCAAACACTCGTCCCCAAGTGGGAGCCTTCCGGTGTGGCTCTGCGACTGAACCGCGGGCCGTGGGACATTCCAGTGCTGGAACCAGCTCTCGCAGGCCCCGTCCTTGCAGACTGCAGGCCTCTGTCTACTTGAACAACGGCGGAATCTCAGGCATCCGCGTAGCCATTCCTTCCTCACGTAAACCCGGTTCGCCACTGGGCTCCTCTTCCCTGGCAATGTCGGTATTTTGTTCCTCGTGGGTGCTTTGTGTTACTCGTACGCTTTGATGTTGCATTCAGACCTTGCTCCTGTTGACCACCGAGGGTTTGGTGCTCCCGAGCGTCGCCCCAGGCCCACTGGGCGGGAGGCGGCTGCCAGGACCAGGAAGTGGCCGGGCTGGGCTGGACGGCGCCCAGTGGCGGCTGGTGGTGTTGGGCCGGGGTGGGAGGACACACTTTGGGCCTTGGAGGACGGGGAGGCTGCAGGGCCCAGGGGTGGCGGAGCTGCCGGCGGGGCGGGGCATCCGCGGCGCAGCTGGGCTGGGCTGTGCCGTCAGGGTTACGGAGAACACGCTTGGGAGTCGTTGGCCGCACGTGCTCTCCAGGGTCGCAAGCCCAGACGAGGAGAAAGTGCGGGCTGAGACAAGTCCCAGGCCCGAGCCCAGGGCACTGGGCAGCGAGGACCCAATGGAAGGACCCAGAGCAGGACACGTTGTTGAAAGGGAGCAGCCGCGAGGGGCAGGCGACCAACACGCCAGCTGCTGCCGACAGCCGCGGGAGGACGTGGACTTAGCGGGGAGGTGACCTTGATAGAGCTGGTGTAGGTTGAGGAGGGGCAGAGGGATGAAAAATTAGGGACAGCCAGCGTGGGCAGCCCTTTCAGGGTGCTCTGCGGACCAGCCGAGCTGCTCCTCCCAGCACCATCGGGGCCTTCCCTGGGGAGCCGCGCGGCAGGGTGGCCAGGCCGTCCTGCCTGGCCGCCCCCACGGGGTGCTGGTCACCCCAGCCCCGACCTGGAGTCGTAACCAAAGTGTTTCCACGTCTTGCCAGCTGTCCCCGGGGCAGAACACGCCCGTCGAGTGCTGAGATGGGGCTGGAGGTGTGTCCGAGATGGGACCGCGGGGGAATCCGATGGGGAGGGAGGGAGAGGAGGGTCCGATCCCCGTCCTGCGGGGGTGGGAGGGCTGCGGGCCTAGGCAGGAAACAAGGTCGCCTGAGGCTGAGAACTGCAAAGCACCTTCCTTTTCTTTCCTTCTTTTTCTTTTTCCTTTTTTAGTACAGATATAGCACTAAATAGATTTTTAAAAAGAAAGTACATTTGGCTATATGTTATCTGTTTCCCTTCGGAACAGGGACACGCAACGTGCCTGTTGCAATATGGGGGGCTGGGCCTGGCTGGGCGGGGCTCCCGCTGCACGGCGGGGAGCAGGGCCGGCGTCTGCCCGGCGTGGCGCCCCCTTCTCGGGGGCCGGGAGAGGCTCTGAGAGCCGAGGACCAGCCTCGTGCCTGGGCCGCGAGGGGACTGGCTGGGACCAGGTCACTCCAATCCACCTCCAGCCCCGCAGAGCTGGGCTGCTGCCTCTGCCCTGTCTTTCCTGGGTGGTGGCGGTGGGTGGGGTGGGGAGGGACGAATAAGGCCCGACGTGGCTGGGGAGGGTGGGCTGCGTGGCCCCCACCTTGGATGCCGCGCCCACCACCCCACTACGTTCTCGGGGTGAAGGGCTGCCCTCCCTCCACTCTCCAAATGCCCCTTCAGGTCTCTGAGGGGGACCCAGGGCAGGGGCTGCCTGTTGTCCCAGCTGGTTTTCCCTGGGGCCATTTCACTCGCGAGTGTTAACCAGGAGGGACACGTGGTGTGTTCTGAGCCCCGAGGAGTCTGGCGCACTTCGTTCTCCGCCTCCCACGGAGGCAGGACCCAGCGAGGGCGAACGGTCGGGGTCGGGGTGGGATTGGAGCCAGGCGCTGCCCGACCGCCTCCCGCAGAGACCGGTCGGGAGGACGCGGCCCGGTCAGCTCAGTGCCTGGCTGTCATGTCTCCTGCGTCTCACAGCGGAAAGGGACTATTTTTATTTTTAACAGAATAGTTCAGTCAAATGACCTCTGTGTGTCGGCCCAATCTGAAACCCAGCAAGCTTTGATTTCATTTCCAAGTCAGAAAATAACAGACAGGGTCCGGGTTCTGCAAGGGACTCTTTTCAAACTGTTCAGAGAAAATTGCAGAAAATGCCTGTTAATATTCCGAGTGCTTGAGCACTTAGCAGCGGGCAGGGGAAGCCGGCAAGATTATCTGGATTGGTGGGAGCAGAGTGTCGAGGTTCGGACGTGGGCTGGACCCCCGGGCTCAGGGTCCCCACCGCCTGCCCCTCACAGCCTCAGGCAGGCTGCTGAACGGCCTCGGTTTCTCCATCTGCAAAGTGGGGCAATAGCGGCGACCACCTCTGGGCCGTCCTGAGACTGTCCAGTGAGGGAGAGCCAGAGGTTTTGTGGCGATGCCTCACGCGCTCTGTGCTCAGTGAGGACGTCCGGAGCATCCGCCGCTATTTCTCATTTCCGCCATCCTGACCTTCCCAGCCCGACTCCACCGGATCAACCCCCAGTTCCTTTTCCGATCCAGCCCGCCCTGCCCAAAACGCATCATCTCCAGCTTCCACCGGAAATCAGGGAGATGGTTCGGTCCTATTCACACGTCACCCCTAGAACGAATTCTGTGTTGCGCAGAGGGGCGGTGGGTGAGCCGGTGCGCAGAGCGTGGCGTCCTCCTCCGGGAGATCACAGGCAGGTAGAGGGAGGCCCGGCCCGTGCTGCCCGCTCTCTAAGGCAGCGTGTTCTGGGCGACGCAGACGTTCACAGGAGCGCAGGGAGCACTGCTGTGAAGGGGAAGGTCAGGACGGCTCCGTGGAAGAGGAGGCGTCTGAGCCCCACGTTTGCAGAGGGACAGATCTGGGTCCAGACCCCAACCTGGTGACCTTGAGCAAGTCACCAGCCCTCTCTGAGCCTTGGCTTCCATATCTGTGAAAAGTGAAAAATGATTTTCCCTTCGTGAGAGGACTGCTGAGGGGATTAAACAAGATGGTGCATGTAACGTGATTGGCAAGACGCCCTACGTGTGGCAGGTCTTCGGAAACACCAGCGGGGGTGGGGGGAGGAGAAAGGGCTGGGATGGGGCAGGGTTTGGACAGGTGTATGGCACGACGCCTGGTGCAAAATAGGTCCTTAGCAAGTATTTATTGACTGCGGTCGATACACATGGATGGATGGTGGGTGTGTGGACAGGTAGGTGGATGGACACTGTGGGGTGAGCAAGGCCAAGCACTGAGAAGGGGAAGACAAAATCTGGGAGGCTAGAGTAGGAGAGAAGGCCAAGAATGTAGGTTGGGTCCCGGCAGACCCATGTGGACGATCCACTCCGTACAGGTGTGGGGCTGGGAGCTGCGTCTCTGTCCCGAGCGCCGGCAGAGGGGGCGTCCTCCCTGCGGGCAGAGACACAGAGCCACAGACCCTGCCCAGGGCTCCAGGCAGCCTTGCTGGGGTCAGCAGGGGTCGGGGATGCAGAACTTGGACCGGGTTCCCCAGCACTTCCCTGGCAGCTGTGGGTGGAGGAGAGTGAGCCCCCCGGAATTTCAGAGTGGCCGTGCAGCGAGATGAGGAGAAGACGCAATCATGTGTCCGAGCCCCGCGGAGGTGGCGCCGCTGAGGTCCAGGCCCTCTCCCCCCTCTCCTGCCGCGGGAAGGGCTGGGATCCCGCCCCAGCTCTCTGCCCCGGGTGCCGGCCCTGTGCGGTCAGGCCCCACCCTGAGTCGGGGGGCGCCCCTCCGTGCTATGCAGATGCCCCCACCCCACCCATCCCACCCCAGAACCGCAGCTCCTCCCAGCTCTGTCAGCCCCGCCGGCACCGCTGGGCGCCAGGTGCTTTGTGGAGGGTGGGACGGGCCCAAACAGCAGACACCTGAGTCGAGAGAAATCCACCGTGTGCGTCGCCGAGAGGGCAGAGACACGCGAGGCTCCACCACCCCAAGCTCCGGGGCTGAGCTGGGCCCGCCACCCACCCTCATGACGGCCCACGAGTGACGCTGTTGTCATCACTTACCAGGTGGGGAAACTGAGGCATGCAAAGGTTGAGTGTTTTGCGTACAGTTAGGACGGGGGTGGCGGTGAGGGGTTTGGCGGCTTGGCTCCAGCGTCTGCGCACCTAAGTGCCAGGTGGGCAGCATTGACTCAAACACTTTCCAGCTTTGTTGGGGGCGGGGGCTACGGGGCTGGACCAAGAAAGCAAAATAAAAGATCTGACTCTGTCCTTCTCCCCTGCCTCGACCAGCAGAGACCCCGGCGCACCCGGCACAGCCTGAAGGACTTTTCTTGCCTGTTCGGCCGGGTCCAGCTGCTCGGGGCAGGGAGTGTCTGGGCACCGCGCGTGGGGCCTTGGTTCTGTCTCCTTCTGACCGGGAGCCTCCTTAGTTCCTTCAGTCACTCGACAAGCACCTGCTGTGTGCGGGGCCTGGAGGCCCCGGGGCCAGGCGAGCAGCTCCTGCCTTTGGGGTCAGGTCCCCCAGGGCTCCCCAGGGACAGGACCAGTCTCCACTCCAGTCCACAGGGTGTGGGCTCGGGAGGTCTCCTGTCTGCGGCCCCCAAGGCTGGGTCCAGGGGGACTCTAGAGTCAGGTTTAGAGCAGAGAGTGGAGCCCGCGTGTGTCCCCACCAGAGAACAGGGTGGGTGAGGGGAGGGACGGACGGGGCCTGGCCACTCTGACCCTCTCGGCAGCTCCAGGCCGAGGTTGGGTGCCAGCACCCAGATATCCCATGCTTGCCCCCCGGCAATCACTAGACCCAAACCTGGGGCGGGCCTGCATTTGTCTCTGCGTGGAGTAGCTGTGGGGTGTTTCCGCCTCCCTGCGCCTTACAAAGCAGGAAAGGGCCCAGAAATCCATCCTGCCGGACACTTCCCAGCACTTACCTCCCTTGCTTTGGCCCCGTAAATATTCATATCAGTCGAACACGAGTGTTATGTATGAAGATTTATCAAACACTGTGTTAGTCTCAGTGAGAATATATTTCACAGGTATTGCCGTGTCCTGCAAAATATTCACGACGTCCTAGCTGCAGAGGGGTGGCCCGTCTTCCCGCTACTGACGCTGTGTTATTAGTTTGGGCCCCCGTGGAAAAGACCTGGCTGTAGTGGAATTAGCCGTCGTATTTGGAAAGAGTGGGTAGGATTGAAGCTGGGAGAGAGACGTTATCTAGAAAGGC